GTTATCTCCCTTAATTGTTATAACTGGCCCAACTGACAGCATGGCACTCACTGCCCTCTTACTACCCAGAACCATGTATTTTGACTTAGCTGGGTTTAGTACCAGAGAGTTATGCTCTGCCCAAGTGGCAACCCTCTGCAGATCATGATTCATTTTTTGTGTAGCCTGTAGCACTTCCGCAGGCCTACAAGATATGTAAATTTGTATGTCATCTGCATACATGTGATACTTGCAGTGTTTAAAAGTCTTTACGATATCCGCACTGTAAAGAATGTAGAGAAGTGGCCCCAAAATTGATCCCTGAGGTACTCCGCGCGAGACAGGAAGTGGGGAGGAGGACAAGATGGATCCATCCTGGTTACGGATTTCAACATATTGAGACCTATTTTCCAAGTAGCTACCAAACCACCTTACTGTTTCCGCTGCAAATCCATAATATGCCATTTTGGAAAGCAGTAATGCGGTGTTTATAGCATCGAAAGCCCGAGAAAAATCGAGCAAAGCCAGAATCGTCCCCTGCCCCCTGTCACGAGCCTCAAGAATGTTTCCTATAACATCAGCGAGTGCAGTTGCTGTCCCACGCCCCTTTCTGAACCCAGATTGCAAATCTGGCAGTATATTGTTATATTCCAGGTATTCGATAGTTTGAGTATACACTACCCTCTCCAGGACTTTTGACAAACAGGGCAGGATACTGATGGGGCGAAGATCCTTGCAGGAGTCTGGATTGCTGACTTTTGGTAAAGGCCGCACCACAGCACACTTCCATGCATCAGGGAATGTATTGGTCTCAATAGATGTGTTTACTATGGAAGTGATAGTCTGAAGCGTGCATGGCAAAGTGAGTTTCAGCATATCCAGACTCAGTCCATCAGTGCCAGCTGCATTAGTTCCAAGGTCCTGCAATATCCTAAAAACATCTGCTTCGCTAACACTCTTGAGCATGAACCGAGTACCATGAGGCACGTAACTGTTAAACTCGAAGAATGTTAGCTGAGATATTGATACATTACATGTCCCTGGAACATCCAGAAAGGCTCTGTTTATATTGTTTGGGTCATTAAAGTGGTCCGGGAGGAAGCTATCCTTGTGGTCGGGTAAGATGTGGGCTTTTAAATTCCTCCATAGAACTTTAGGATTTTTTATCTGTCTATTAATATCTCTGGAGAAATAAACATCCTTCTCCCGGGCCAAAGCAAATAATGCCTGTTTTTTGAGGTCTGTATAATATTTCTTGGCAGTTTCAATGTGATCTATGTTACTAGCCTTCTTTTTTAAGTTATAATACTTACCTCGTGCCTCATTCCTTAACCTAAACATCAGCTTTATGTTGTCAGTAATCCATGGGGTAGGAAGGTCTTTAAATCTTTTTGTTCGCATGGGTGCATGGAGGTCAAATAGCTGATTAGTAGCATTAATAAATTGTGTGACTATGTTGTTGACATCATTTGACTTCGTCATTCCCAACCATGGTATGGATTTCAAGTCCGCTGTGAACTGTTCCACTAATATGTCCTGTAGTGGTCTATAGGATACAGTTCTTGGTTTGACCTTCTCCTTCTTAATCACTGCCTCACAGGTGATGAAAGAGTGACTTCCAAGCTCGCTGATGTGATTTACCACGACGTTCCGTACCTTTATGTCTGTACAAACAATGTCAATTAGGGTACCACTATCCCCCACGAAATGCGTAGGCGTCTGAACTACCTGGTTCATTTGTGTGTAATTTATAAAGTCAAGCAAGGTAGTAGTCTTGTAATCATTATTTAATAGATTTACATTAAAATCCCCTAACAAAATAACATAATCGTAAGGGGCCAATGCAGTGACGCTGTCAGTTATACCATCCAGGAATCCAGTCAAGTCAAACCATGGCGGTCTGTAAGCAGTGCCTACCAAGATCTTCCTACCATTTACGATTATGAGAAGCCACATCTGCTCTACATCTGATTGTTCAAAGTGTTTCATCACTCTTGCCTTAATTCCTGTTTTTATGTAAAAACCAACGCCTCCACCTCGTCCTCCCCGCACAGAACTCGACCGCGGTACGTGCTTCAGTCTGTAACCCGGGACACTAGGCGCACGCCCCTCTTCACCCGGTCTCAGCCATGTCTCATTGATCGCCATGACATCTACAGAGTGTTCAGACATGGCGATCCTAAATTCATCATGCTTTGTTCCCAGTGACCCCGCGTTCAAGAAACCGAACTTTAAGCACTTAGACTTAGGCATGTTTGTGTATTTTATTATTTGTAAATAATGTTGTGTATATATTGTATAGTGTGTTTAAAGTAATAGTTGTGTATAGTGTGTATGTAGTAAAATATGTGTAGATATAGTATTTATTATTAAAATGAAGGTTAGGTCTGTAAGTATAATACTTTATTTTTATTAATTGTGAGACTTTGTATATAGTTATTGTTGATTTGTTTCTATTAGACTTAAGACAGTATCTAAGTGTAAATATAATTGTGTATGTAGTAATTGTAGATTTGTATATATAGGACTTAAGATAGTATTCAAGTGTAAATATAATTATGTATAGAGTAATTGTTGATTTGTATTTATTAGGTTTAAGATAGTCTGTAGTAAATATAGGTTGATTTTGTTTGTGTGTTGTCTCCAATTGTACAATTAAGTAAACAGCTGATCTGTGACTCATGCTTCTTCCCGGAAAAAGCATCCGGTTATGCCCGAAATGACGCACCAGCCAATCATTACAGTGCGTAAACATGGTAAACCCTACGAAACTCAACTTAAATTGTATATATATATGTCTAAACTGTGTATTGTCCAATGATTTCTTGAATATCGTGCTCAGATCCAATTCTGCGGGTCTGGTCTCCAGGCTTATTTCGGACCAGAATTCGGCCCCGTTTCGTCCAGACGAAGCGCCAGCCGTGGATACCGGCAGCCGCACGCGTCTTACGAAATAAGTCCTGGTTTGTCTTGGTCAGCCTTTCGTTGACGTAGAAACGACCCACAGGACCGGGGAGACCCAAATCTTCCGTCGTTGCTCCTCGCCGCTGTCTCGCGCTGTCAAGAACAGCATCTCTGAGGTCTCGGCGCGCCAGACGCACCATGACAGCACGAGGGCGGACCTCTGCTGATTTTGTTGGGCTCGTCGCCTTAAGGTGTCGATCGTTAAATAAACCGGTCAAATTTAATTTATTCAGGGCTGATTTTTCAATAGTCGGATAAATGTTATCTGAGGAATAAAATTGTTGCTGTCACTGTCTTATACACTGTCCTATTGCTAAAACCCCAATTATAAATATTTCTATTTTTACGAGATATACGAATAGACTGATTACCTGGTGGTATGTATTCCCCGCCGCCCAAGAATACCAGGATCATCAGAGGAGCTACGAGTGCATTGCCTTTTGGGGATTAGGGTTTCAGATATTTCAAGATTGGAACATAAGAGGTAGGATTGCTAACCTTACTCACTCGGCGAAACACAATGCTGTTGTTGTTTCCCGCCGGTTTTCTGTGAGGCTGCGGTATCACTCCGGTCGAGCCGACCCACAGAGCCGACCCATTCATGCCGAAGCTTTGTTCTTCCACGCTTTGTTTAAATAACTTATAATGAAAGTAATAACTTGCCTTCCTTCTCTGTCCCATCCAAGAAGCAAAAGGAAATAAAAAATATCTTTTAATAATAGTCAAATGAAATAAGTAAAATGAATGATATAGGTAGGTGAAATATAAACTCCGATCTCCTAACAACTTCAAAATAAAAATAAACCCTTTACCTAACCTACAACATCTAATCTACAACCAATCAACGAGACAGACAGACAAACTAACATATTTTCGCAATAAACATAATAGTTTACATTCCGTGTTGGACCGGAGGCATTAATAGTATAATGTTGCGACATAGGAATCACGCAGCACGGCTCCGAACCCACTGCCCGGCGGTATTGTGACATTCCGTCAGTACCTACATACAACATACCTACTCATAATAGTAATAATGTCAACTTAGGTACTACACAAATGTCGAGTTAAACATTTTAGCTAATAACGCCATCTGTAAAATGATTTTGGAACCATTTGTTTGGTTTTTTGCTAAAACGGTCTGTTTTTTAAAATAATGACTCTTTTTTTTAATAATGTCAACTTTTACAGAAAATTAAATGTCCAGTTAAACATTTGAACTAGCTATTAACGCCATCTGTGAAATGATTTTGGAACTATTTGTTGAAACGGTCTGTTTTTAATTAAATACAGAAATGTCGAGTTGAACATTTTATCTATTAACGCCATCTATGAAATGATTCTGGAACTATTTGTTGGTTTCTTGTAAAGTCATCTGTATTTGTTTTTAAGTTTTAAACTTCGTAACAATAGAGTTTCTGCTCATCGTGTGGATGTTTCCCTATCAGAATTTCTTTTTCTATACATAAATGAAATTGTTATAGTAAGGATAGTGAATTTCACGCTGCGTGTGTTGGATTTTTGATTAAAACATGCATATTTTTTTCGAATGTGTCGTTACGGTATTTTGGAGTCTGTCTGTGTCTGTGAAGTTGTGTTTAATAATCTTATTTAGTGTTATTTTAGACTATTAAACACAACTTCACGGTTTCATTTTGTATTAGCGACCCGCCACGGCTTCTCACCGATGCAATGTTGATACTAAATTTCTCTACTATTTAATATAGAGAAATTTAGGTACATATTATTATACATATAAACAACTCTTTTTATCATTATTTTTTTATCGGAATGACATCTTAATTGGCATTTATTACCTAGTACCTAGTACCTAAGTATTCCTTGTTTAACTGTACAAGACAGAAATGTCCATCCGACTGTCCCTATAAAATTTGAAAGTTCCCCTCGATTTTTCTTGGTTTCCATCATCAGATCCTGACAAACTGACTGACTGAAACTGAACAAAAAAAAAATCCAAATCAGTCCAGGCGTCTTCAAGTAATCGGTGAACAAAAAATACTAAAAAAATCTAACATTCTATTCTCCATTTGTTCCAGAAGATGCCAGCCAGAAACGCCAGAGACCCCGCGACATGTCCTTGGCAGAGCCACCACACACGATGGAAATAGCGCAGATCCTGATCTCCTTACTTCATGCTTGGGGCTTGGATCCCGACCTGGACAGGGTCTGCGAGTCCAAACTTGGATTATTGCGGCCAATGGTACGTTTTTTTTTCTAGGATGGATGGCAAACGAGCATCTCGTCTGATGGTAAGCAATCAGCGCCTCTCAAAGACACTTGTTCCGGTGAAGCTATAAATGTACTCGTATTACTGGTAACTTCACTTCCACTGCGAAACACAACGGTATAGCTTTTGGTATTACAATGAAAATGTTTAAAGGAATTCAGAACTAAGTAACCAATTTTTTGTCCTAATCAGCGTTTTATAAGTCCTGGTTTCCTCATTCGAAAAGAAATTATTTCAACGTATAAAATCATAACAATACTGATAAAACAACCATGCCTTGATTTAATAACTGTACGATACACTTAATATTCGTATTTTTATTATTAATATCTACTAAAGAAATGAGTATGCTATCTGACGTAATGTGACATTATAACGTGCAAGTAATATTATATCATACAAGATTCATAGACAATTATCGAAATTTTATCAAAAAAGGTATTGAAGTATTATAAGTGTGGGAGAGCCAAGCTTCGGCACGAATGGGTCGGCTCGACCGGAGTAATCACGGCCTCACAGAAGACCGACGTGAAACAACCATAGCGTTGTGTTTCGCCGTGTGAGTGAGCTTACCGGAGGCCCAATCTTTCCCGTCTCCTAGTTCTCCAAATCCCTAATCCCCAAAAGGTAGGCAAAGCACTCGTAGCTCCTCTGTTGTTGCGAGTGCCCATGTGTAACGCTGATTGCTTACCATCAGGTAATCCGTCTGCTAATTTGCAGACATATCTCATAAAAAAATCGTGCGTGCGTTCACAATCATAAAATTCCACTTACATATCAAACCCTAACTAGGAATAACAAGATAGCACTGCATATCTGAACCTTCCAAACTCTACCAATCTACCTTAAATTTCAGGTGCCAGTATGCTTCGGTGTGGTCTCCCGCCACGGTCACATGGCTGTCCAGCTCCCCACATGGCTTGGGAGCTGGTCTGCCGCCTGCGCCTCCGCTCCTGACGACCCATTGCTCATCACATCGGATCTACCACCAGAATTGGTTCGCCAAGAGAAACTTACTAGGTAAGTTAAAAGGATACTTATTGGCAATTTTATATAGATTTTTTTATGGTATAAGTCGGCAAACGAGCAGATGGATTACCTGATGGCGGCTGATGGTAATCGGCGTCGCCCATGGACACCCGCAACACCAAAAGAGTTACGAGTGCGTTGCCGGCCTTTTGGAGATAAGGGTTGCAAACAAAAGGATCGGGAAGGGATAGGGGAAGGGAAGGGATTGGGCCTCCGGTAAGCTCACTCATACGGCGAAACACAACGCTGTGGTTATTTCACGCCGGTTTTCTGTGAGGCCGTGGTATAAATCCGGTCGAGCCGTCCCATTCGTGCCGAAACTTGGGTCTCCCACATTTTTTTTTTTTTTTGCAGACTGTTCTCATCGAAGCTGCATTGGGAGTTGAGCACAACGTTGACAACGAACCACCTTCTCTCCATTGTGGCTCTCGCCAATACCCTCATGTCGATGAGCAACGCCAGCTTTGTGCCAGAACAGGAGATGATACGAAGACTACACAGGTGATTTTTTTTCTACCCTTTATTTATTTAATTACTCAGTATTAGGGTAATAAGTATCCTATGTGGTAATCCAAAGTATCACCCATCTACATACCAGATTTCAACAAAATCGGTCTATCCGTTTTGAATGAAAGATTAACATAACAAATGTACTTACATCCATAAATTTTCACAAGCTTTCATATTTATCTGGGCCTGAGGCAGTGAAAAAATCGCAGATTTACTGTTTTAGACTTCTTTATTAAATTTAAATTACACCGAAACCTCTTATCCGTTCTAAAGTTATCGCCATCTTCCTTTTCCCCCTCCATCCTTCCTCTCTCTCACACACTCACACGCATACGTCATCTCGCTCATGTCTCACTCATGCTTAATATTCTACTACAAAGTTTACATTTTAGAATCCTACATTTATAATAGTAGGATAGTAGGATAGAAGGATAGTAGGATGGTAGGATAGTAGTATAAGTAGGATTTAGTACCTAGCTAGATTGATTATTCGGTCCCGAAACCCTCTAAAATACATACAAAATGTTATCGAAATCGTAATGTAGATTGATGATATATAGCCTACAGCCTTTCTCGATAAATAAGCTAGCTAAAATTGAAAGAATTTTTCAAATCGGACCACTTATACCTGAAGTTAGCGCGTTCAAACAAACGAACTCTTCAGATTAATATTCTATTATTAGTATACATAACAAAAAATAGACAGAGTGACCTAATTTCACGTTTTTAATATTAGTTTTGATTGATCGTCTACAAATATATTTCAACACTAGTATCTGCCAGCGCCTTCGCCCTCATTACCAGGGTAATAAGTAGCTTATATGTTATTCCAGACGATAATATACATACATGTGTGGCAGATTTCATTCAGATCCGTCCATTAGTTTTCACGTAAAAAAAATAACAAACATCCATCCATATTTGCAAACTTTTTATATTATTAGTACGAAAACTAACAATCCTACCGGGACTCTTGTCCCCAGACCCTCAACCAGAAACTCCTCGTCTTGGGCAGCTGATGAGGAGAGAGAGGAGCAACTGGCCGCCCAGCAGGCTCACATCAAGCAAGGATGGTCCTTACTGGCCACGCTGCACTGCGTTCTATTGCCTGACAAGGTCGTCGCTGCAGGTTTGTAAAAACATTTCTTTATTTATTTTAGGACTAGCTACTTTCACTCGCTGCTCGGCTCCTAAAGATCTTTGCGTGATGTTTTATAGTCTATAGCCTTCCTCAATAAGTGGACTAAAGAAAGTAAGAAACACAAAAAGAATAGTTCAATTCGAACCAGTAGTTTTCGAGATTAGCGCGTTCAAACAAACAAAATCTTCTCTATTAAGTATAGATATATCTTTTTTACTTTTTTATCATGGGTTGGGTCGCCAAGCAAGTAGACGGATTACCTGATGGTAAGCAATCGGCGCCGCCCATAGACAATCGCAACACTAAAGGAGTTACGAGTGCGTTGCCCGCCTTTTGGGGATAAGCCTTTTTGGATATTTAAGGCATATGATGGGGGAGGGGAGGGATTGAGTCTTCGACAACCACACTCACACAGCGAAACACAACGCTGTAGTTGTATCACGCCGGTTTTTGAGAGGCCGTGGTATCACTCCGGTCGAGACGACCCATTCGTGCTGAAGCTTGGCTTTCCCACACTTAAACTGAACTAGCTTATATCCGCGACTTTGTTCGCGTAAAATTATCGCTATCGTGCTATGTATATTTCGAGATAAAATTAAAAGTTTTTTTTAGTAATTTAAGTAGCATAAGTTACTTCTTATAACATTAGCTCACCAAAAAGTCCGGTTAAAATCGGTTTAATCATTCCAAAGATTGAGAATCGATTCAAAATCCAATTCAAATTATTTATTTGTGGAACATAGGTACAGATAAGTTGGAATTACAATGTTAGGATAGCTATGTTTAACCTTATAGGCGTACAAATTTAATTATATTATTAAGGAGTACAATATTATTATTTTATAATTAGTTACAAAAATTAAATTAAGTATAAATGTCATTAAATACAGTCAAATAGAGTATATCGTAAACAAACGATTTTGAAAGAGTTGGTATCTATGAGTTAGGCAGGCCACATTTATAAGAGAACCGATAATTTACTGAATTTTACTAAAATTCACAGTTACATTCCAACCACTCAATCAACAAGACCGTCTACTCACATAACAGTTATGGAAATGTATAATTATTTGTACAGGAGCAAAGAGTTTCAAACGTCCACAAGTGGAGATGTTGGCTCGACGCTGGCAGCACCACTGTTTAGAAGTACGCGAGGCTGCTCAGGCGTTACTTTTAGCTGAACTTGGCAGGTGAGTTGTTGAATAGTGATATACAGTGTCAATACGAAAAATGTTTTTTGGAAATATATAATATATAAAAAATTACAAATCCTATGTATTCGAATATAGAATGCGAAAAAAAAGAAAATGCGTTTATTCGGCATACAACATGAACGCCAGAAAATAATAAAAAAATATAGTATGTAATATAAAATAATAATTAAATGGTTTTTAAATATGTATTTTAAGAGAATAGGGATATTTTATTTATTTATTAAAACTTCATGCACAATGGGTATATAGGCGGACTTAATGCCTTAGTCATTTTCTACCAGTCGAGCCTTGATGCAGAGATGAGCCAATGGTCGGTGCAAGAAGCAAGCAAACAGACTTCAATTTATATGAGTCAAGACGAGACAGATACATATATATGTGCAAACCATATATGTGATTATATTTGACGAAAAAAATTATGACGTCACAACGTGCTTTTTCGTACATAATTCATAGAAAATTTTCATAATCGTTTTTGATTGCTATACTCTGAAATTGTTTCGGCATTTCTTCTCAGAGTAGTCAGATAGGAAATGCCGGCTTTATCTAGTTTTAAACATATAATTTGACGTGTAAAAGTGCCGTTTTATGGCCTATTTGCAAAAATAAATTCATAGTTTATTGACATTTCGTAAAAAGTATCGATTTTGACTAGTTGGGAACTACCGTATTATGGAGGTACGATGGCTCAATCTGCCCGCGGTCACTATCTCTTAGACTATTTTTATTAACATCCTCAGACTTGGACCTAAAGGCCGTAAGACTCTGGTGGACAACTGGGCTCAGTTCCTTCCACTGTACACCCACACTGAGAGCATCAACCCACATGCAGCCCATAAGGAACCTGCTGAGAAGATACAGCAAGTTGTAAGTGCCATTACATTTACTATTTTTTAGTTTGTAAGCTATTGACTCTGCCCAGAGTTACGAATGCGTTGCTGGCTCTTTGCTGGACGTTTCGGAGATTTAGGGATTAGGGGAGGGTAACACGCGGCGTAATACAAGACTGTGATTGGTTCACGCCCTATTAGTGCCTGAAATATTTTTGGCCATAAATGAATGGAGACAATCAGTCCATGGACCCAAACCTATAAGATCTTCCATAAAAAGCTCTGTCAAACATCGCATCCATACCGCCAAACAAGCGATTCCAACATATACGAGGATGAGGTTACCTGAGGCCCAATCCTTCCCCTCCCCCAATCCCTCCTCAATCCCTAAATCTCTATATGTCTAATCCCTAAAAGGTCGGCGACGCACTCGTAACTCCTCCTCCTCCGGCGCTGATTGCTTACCATCAGGTAATCCGTATGCTCGTCTGCCGATCTATTACATAAAAAAAACACATCGACATCGTCACGCCTCTACCTAAAACACCGCATCTTACAGCAAACTCTCCAGTAACAATTTCCTTTCTTCTTACAGCAAGAAGAAGAGTTTGAAGAAGAAGAGGAGGAGATTATCCGCAAGCCGTCTTCTCTGGCGGAGCTGAAACGCAAGCAGACGACTGCAGTCGTACTGTTGGGGGTGATAGGCTCTGAGTTCGGACAGGATATTACAAGCGAAGGTAGCTTTTCATAAAAACACTCTAAAACAGAGTTGATAGGTATGACATAGGCCAAAGTTCCTAGAAAAACAACTCGAAAAAAGATTCAATAGACGAGAAATTATTTAATGTTTTCATTCACCACCTAAAACACATTGAGACACACAATTCGCCCTTCTGTTTGTATTCATTCCTTATCATTCATTCCTAATCACCCCCTGCCCTTCTTCTGCATCTATTCAACCCACGAATTTTATCCAATACTCATATATTCCCTCCACTCCACTGCTTTACCTATCCAACCCTCTTTTAAATGCATTCAAGCCCTACCTATATGTATTCGCCCCCATCTATTAAACCAGTTTCTACGACTATTCAACCGCTTTCTGTTCGCCCCCCCTTATATGTGTATTCATCCCCATCTATTCACCCCCCTCCCCCCTTTTTAGGGGCGTTCAGCCTTCTTTTATATGTAATCATCCCCCCTTTTATATGTATTCCCCACAAAAACTCCACTCCCTTCTATATTTATATACTCTGTCCATTTTTAGGTATTTACCCCTTAAATTGTGTTCATACCCCTTCCAAGACTATTCTACCCCATCTATGTATCCCCTTCTATATCTATACCCCTCCCCCCATTCTACGTATTCATCCCTTTTTACCTTAGGTACGGTTTTTATAAATATGGTTCTGGGCTTCTTAATGCGGTCATACATTTTATATAGATGTTTACATACTTAAATTATAGAGTAAAGCGTAGCTTATCATAAGTATCAAAAAAGTATATTATTATTATTATGTTAGCTAAATTAGGTTTCTTTTGCCTCGCTTTTTGTAAATACCATAGCCTTTTTTAATTTTTAACAGTTCAGCTGGGTTTGGTATGGCAAAAGTCAAGTAATTAGTTTAGTTTTAGTTAGTGTAAGTTATTTTGTAGTTATTCCTTTACGATATCAAGTCGACATTTTGCAATGTTAAATGCCAATTGTCGCCGCTGAATATAAAACCAGTGTCATCTACGTGAGAGGTTGTTTCGACTTGGACTAAAGATAGGTCGATAAGGTCGTCTATACAGAAAAGAAAGATGGCCCCAAAATGCTTCCCTGGGGAACTCCGCATGTAATAGGAAGATACAAACTAGTATAATTTCCTTTTCTTTGACACTAGTATCTATCCGACATATATCTCCCACTTATAAGTTGATTGCCTCTTACTTTGAAGTTCTCGAGTTTTCGCAAAAGAATGGGGATTGAGAACGTGTCAAATGCTTCAGCCAGATCTAAAAAGATGCCAAATTAAACTAAATTTGTAGCTATTCAATTGGTTAATTTAAAAGTGCCATCATATGTGCTTCTATCCGTCAGAAAGCCAAACTAAATAAATATAAATAAGGCGCAATAGCATCTACAAAAGACCTACACACCGTAAAAATGTCCATCAGGCGGCTCCAGCCGCGACACCCGCTTCTGAACTATAGCCCTGCTCCATTTTCAGTGTCATTGCTTTAAAAACCGGGTTCAAAAGCGTAATATTATGATTTGCATTATGTTGCTTGCGTTGTTGTAGGCGCGGCTGGCAATAAGAGGCGTAAGGACGGAGACAGCAGAAAGAGTTCCGTGGTTGAAGGTAAGTCTTCTAGAGAAAGCTTCTAAGTTTTTAGCCGCATGAAATAATAATTGAGAATTGCAATAAGCCTTAACCTACCCTGACCAAAAAAGGCATATGTTTAAGAATTAAATAAAAACTCTATAGTGAATGGGGTGGTTTATAGTCAGTAAGAGTCTTACACTCCCTCTCAATCCAGCCAGGGTGAGACAAGTCATTTGATGATTTCCTCCCTCCAAAACACCCCTCCGGAATACCACAACACCGTGTCTTGGTGATGAAAATATTTTTTTTTTTTACTTTCAGGTTTCACTCTAAGCTCATCAAACAACCTGGCCCGACTGACCGCATTGGCGCTCACCCATCTACTTCTAAGCCCCGCCTGCCCCCGCTTACCCGCACACACTCCGCTACGCCGCGCCGCTGTGGACCTATTGGGACGTGGATTCACTGTCTGGGAACCTTACTTGGATGTCAGTCATGTCCTCCTGGGTAAGAAAAGTGAAAAAAACTCCAAATTACTTGTGGGTTTTTTTGTGTATTGTAAGACATGTTAAAGAAATTTATATACAAAGACTTCTCACGTCCCTTTTTACTTAATACTTTTTTCGTTTAATTCCCCAAGCGCGCATATATTGTTCTTCTATTGTGTCTCGAATAACCGCGATATATTTAATGATATCACAAGATTTGTTGATAGGAATCCTGCTTCGGGACGGATCTCACCTACCTACCTCACCTACCTCAGAATCGCTCATACACAAAATCATTTTTGGAACCTCTGCTTTATTGATTTAGTGTCATAATGGACCTAGCAACTTTTTTAAGTGGTTTTTTAATATAGAGTAATTCATAATTAATATATTCCATTGTAAATAACTTCATAACGTTATACTCTTTCCCAGGTCTGCTGGAGATGTGTTGTGATGCGGACAAGTTAGTTCCGTCGATGACGTACGGGCTCCCCCTCACCCCGCAAGCAGACTCTTGTCGTACCGCCAGACACGCTCTCACACTTATTGCGACCGCCAGGTATTGTAGAAGACTCAGTTTTATGTTACTTGTGGCAGGGATTTGAATTGCGGGTGCAAAAAATGGGTGTTTCTCAGGGTTCCATATTGGGTCCATTTCTTTTTTAAGTTTGTATTATAACTTGCCATTTCAATTTAAACCTGAATGGGATAGATAATGCTGTTAACAGATTTTAAGTGTGGGTGAGCCGTGCTTCGGCACCAATGATTCGGCTCGACCTGATTAATACCACGGCCACACAGAAAACCAACGTTATACAACTTCAGTGTTGTGTCCAATCCCAAAATCTCCTAATCAATAATCTCCAAAAAGTCGGCAACATATTCGAAACTCCGTTGTTGCGAGTGTCATTGGAAGGCGCTGATTGCTTACCATCAGGGAACCCGTTGGCTCCTTTGCCGACCTATCACATAAAAAAAGATGATCATTAATTGTTCAAAGAAGTAAGCGTACTGCTAATTTTTGCGTAGTAAATAGCTCCATTTGTCAAGTTCAGAATTGGTTCACTATGATGAGTCGAAGTACTAAGATATGTATGGTCGTAGGCCGGCTGCGTTTATAACGACGATGGCGCGCGAGGTGGCTCGCTGCGCGGCGGCGGCGCAGGGCGGCCAGCCGTCCGCCGCCTACCTGGCGCTGCAGAAGGGACGCGCCGAGGTCCTGCGCGGGATCGAACTACTCATCGACAGAATGCACAACGAAGTCGCCGAGCTCTTGGTCGAGGTTAGAGCCGATTTGTTTTGCTAAGAAATTCTTGGTTTGATCTGCTGTATGTATATTTACCCGCCATCATTACACCACTATAAAATATAAGGCACAAGAGTGAGGTCTGCTGCGGCGAGGGTAACTCCCTCAAGCGCTCCGCCTCCTTCTTCGCGAGCATAAAAGAGGAGACGGCTTCCCAGTTCCTCTCACTCCGCACCATGGCCTCGACTAAGGCCGGGCGCGAGAGGTCATCGCCGCCGATCAGTTCCCTAGGATGAGGCGGTGCTCAGCCCAAGCGAGGGCCTACCATGACAAATTAAAGCGTGAATCTTCCGGGCGAGAAAGAGGGATGGAGCTATAGAAGGTGGCTGCATGGTAGGCTTACAGGGCATTCTGCCACCGTGTACTCGCGTTTTATAGTGCCTACAGTGTCTTGTATTGTTAAACGCCGGTATCGCTCCATTCGTCGGTTGAGCCGGGCCATTCGTGCAGATACGTGATATTTTTTTATATATATTTTTACAATTTCTGCCCTATTTATCGGAAGGTGATGGACATTATCTTGCACTGCGTGGACCAGTCGCACTTGAAGAGTAAGGGCCTCAACGAGGTGTTCCCCGCGATCTGCCGGTACAACCAGGTCTCGCACTGCCCCGCTACTAGGCGAATTGCAGGTAAATATACCCACTACACTACACAACACTGAAACACAGTTAATATGACATGAAACGTAGAAATTATGGCACATTACACATTTAAACTATTGATCAATGAAATAATGAAACGTACAACTAGCGACAAGATAGGACATTAAGTAATTTCGAAACTATGAAACAATGAAACTATGAAACACTGAAATATTGAGACTGTGAAACTTTGAAATATTGAAACTAAAACACTGAAATTATGGAACAATGAAACATTGAAACACTGAAACTGAAACAGTAATAGGGATGTCTCCTGGGTTAAAACAACAAGATTTTAATTAGTCCGTCAGTTAGATTATAGAAAAATACTCGATGCGTATTTTTTTATTTGTCCATACGAATAATATTGACAAAGATACAGCACATTCAAATTCAGGAGTAGGGGCTTGTGACGTCACTCTTTCGTAAAAATTTACGAAGTAATGACGTAGCGCGAACTTTCGCCGCTCTGTAACTTTGTTATTTTAAGTTTTAGAAGCAAAAGAAAAAATACGTATTTACTATTTTCTGGCGTTCTAAAAGATGGACTAATTATTATTTTTTAGTGATCATCTCTATTATGAACCTACGATACGACAACGACATAATTTCTAATAAAATGTAATAAGAAAGTACGTTTGTCCCTTAGTGGGCAGCCACACGGGCCAGCTGGCCATGTACGAGCTGCGCGCGGGGCGCTGCCAGTCGCTGGCGGCCCACAGCGGGCCCGTCACCGCCTGCGCCTTCAGCCCCGACGGACGGTACCTCGTCTCCTATGCCACGGCCGACAACCGACTGTCCTTCTGGCAGAGCACCGCTGGTAACTATTTTATATATATAAAAATGGATCGCAAAATATGTTGGTAAGCGCGTAACTCAACAACGGCTGGATCAATTTTGCTAATTCTTTTTTTGTTGTGTTAGTTACTGTCAGGAGAAGGTTCTTATCAAAGAAAATATGAGAAAAGTAGAGGGGAAGATTAGGAAAAAGTGACCCTTTGATAGCGAGATAGTTAGACCCATGCGAAGCGAGGGCGGGCCGCTAGTTTTATATATTTTCATTGCTAGCTTTTGCCCGCGACTCCGTTCGATTTTGGTATAAAAATCCTATGCCCTTTCTCGAGTTCCAAACTCTGTCTGTACCAAATTTCACAGAAATCGGTTCAGTAGTTTTGACGTGAAGAAAAGACAGACAGACGGAGTTACTTTCGCATTTGTAATATTAGTTTGGATTTCGATTTTTCTACGTGAACCTCTTTGAAAACTTTTTAAGAAAACGTTGCCCCACATTAGGATTTTCTCCTGTGTCGTGGGTGCTGTTACAAACATACAACAACAACAACAACAAACTATCGACCCGCCCCGGCAATGTAGATTCATCACAACTTTTGAGGAGTTACAAGTGCGTTGCAGACCTTCAGGGGATTATGTTAGATAGATTTGAAGCTTGGGGACCATGAGGGTGGAAGATTGGGCCTCCGCTTACCTCTCTTTCATGGCAAAAGACAAAGCTACGGTTGTCTCACGTCAGTTATATGTGAGGCCGTAGCATCATTCTTGGCGAGCCCCAATTTTTTTTTGTCATAGGTATAGGAGCTAACCTATTACCTGATGGTAAGCAATCAGTACCGCCCATGGACTCGTAATACCTACGAAGTTGCTACAAGTGCGATGCCGGCCTCTTGTAAGTCGGGCATACGGATAGCCAGGATTGCGAGGCAAGCGCCCGAAAAAATAACCTTCTCACGAAAAAAATGGTTACCTCACCCCCACTGCGAAACACAACGTCAATCCTTCACGACGGTTGTCCGTTAGGCCGTGGTATCACTCCTTTCGAGACGGCCCATGAGTGCTAAAGCATGGCTCTCCCACACTTTAAAACCTTCCGAATCCCAATCACTTTAAAAATTTTTTTATGATGTAGGTAGGATAGGTTAAACGAACAGACGGATTGCCTGATGGTAAGCAATCAGCATCGCCCACCATGGAATGTCTGTTTGTGACCACGACCTGTGCAACCAGGTCGAAATGTCAGGTATTTCAATCAATACATTTCGCGTTAATACCCGCTTATTATATGTTGTAAACACCAAAGGAGTTACGAGTTCGATGCCGTCCATTTTGGGATAAGGGGTTTCGGATATTTTAGGATTTGGGGAGGGATATTTAAGGTTCTGTCTCACAAGATAACACTTAATGACAATAATAATACTTGTACTTCCGGGATAGCCGTGGGATGTCTCTCCTTCCCCAAGCAGCTCAACGTATGTTGCCCCCGTGTCGCTACATGCTAGCGGCTGTTTCCGGGGGCCCATTAATTTAGTTTGCCAGTCACCCCCTGCCTGTTTATCCGTATGTATCAATATTGGTCAGGGGCAGGGGCCATAGTATTTCCATAGTTTTCATCCACTAGTGCATAGCAACCCATACCCATAACCCTATCAATTGTTACCACATTTTACTACAGTCCTGCATCAACCGGGGATTGTCCTTGGGTGCACTTTTATAGTGCACACAGCGATAATTGCCGGCTGATGTCCCATTTCACTAATATTAAAGTTGTTCAACGGGCCTCTGCGAGTTGGCTTCGGCCTCTCGTATGCCTTCCAAAGGTCCGGGACCCTGTGGTCCCGTGAAAGGAAAGAATAACAATAATAATACTTTTTACTTTTTCAGGTATGTTTGGTCTAGGCGCTGCACAGACTCGTTGCGTAAAATGCTACAGTACAGCTCCCATGGCAGACGTAGCCAGACTCAATCCTGCACGCCTGGCCCGACTCGTCTGGACGAATTCCCGAACTGTCACACTCATGTTGGGTGACGGGTCTGAAACTAGATTCAATGTGTAAATAAATTGTTAATTTTTCAACTGTAAGGGTTTAGTTTTAATGTTTGACAAATATATGTTTCTGGTCTGGTGTGAAATTGTATGTTTGTAAACGCACCCTCGACCCACAGTTCCAATATGGAATTATTTATAAATATTTTAGTGAATTGTTAATTGTCGCATGGCAATTATCTCCCTCCTTTTATTACACGTACACATACTTCTCTGCCTTCATATATGTAGATAAAAAGATGCTATTTCCAATTTCCAAACAGTAGTTTTTACTATTTTCACATAAACATTTAAGGGCTCAGTATTGGACCAACTGTAAATCATACTATACTGTATCCAAGGGATAGAACCATTATTTGTCTAACATTAAAATAAATACACCAATAAGTCATGTATAAAAACTATTTAAAATGTTATCCTAATAATACTATTAATGCGTTAATCAAAACTACCAATTTTGGTATTTTTTGCTATGGCAAAGGTATTAAAATGATTTGTTGTTCTGGCAACATCAAGATAACTGTCATAATATATTTGAAAATCGAAATATTGATGTTAATTATGTTTTGTGAAGAGAAAATTAATATATTTGAAGTATTTGTATAATGTATATTGTTTTGTTCATCTCTGGTTAACCCTTTGAGAAATAAAAGGCGCCATGATATATTTTTCTGTCTAGTGTTAAGACACTAATTAAAGTTATCGATATCGACAATAACTGTTTAATTTTTGATTATTGACGAACAATTAAAAATAATACATAATGTTGTATACTGTTGCTGTATTAATAATTAATTAAAGTTATTTAATTTTGCGGTTAATTATAATAAGATTTATTGTTAATTTATTACTATGCTATCATACTGTTAAAATATGTATAAAACTATGTCTGATTCCATAATGGCTACACATCATCAGCCTATAAGTGCCCACTGCTGAACAAAGGCCTCTTCTCACATGGGAAACGTATGAATAATAGGTCTTTACCTATGAAATTGCCGTTCTGCAGTAGGTACTGGCCATTTCAAATCAAAATAGTTTTTGTTAGGCTAAGGCTAATTAATTTTGTTTTAAAAACATGGGATTCTTTTTCCAAAAGTAGTCATTTGTTTATTGATTAGTGTTACATTTTCATCGCACTCCAAATCAAAAAAATCGTTTAAATTTTTGCATGCAAAACGGCAATTTCATAGGTAAAGACCTATTATTAATCACTACGCCTTGCTCCAGGAGGACCGGCCATTTTAAACTTATAATTAGAAGTGGCAAGTCCAAATTCCCTTAACGATGTTTTCGTTCACCGTATTTCAGTGGTGTCTAAATAATCGTTATAGAAAGTACATATGACTCGGTATAAGTCATACTGGTTCTTGCCAGATTTTGAACCCGCATATTTAAGAAGCGAGCGACTTGAACGGACCACCGCGACTTTCTTGTGTCATACATTTGTGTATAAATCAGGCATTTGTTGGCAACATTAACTAATTATTAATTATAAGCTGTACAATAACCAAGAAAATAGAGCTTACGGTAATAATTTAATATACTATATCAAACTACGAATGCATTAAAATAAGTTAACGTTTTGTCTGTCTGACTGTTTTGTTGTATGTTGTCGCTTTTCTCTAAAACTAGCGGTCGGATTTTGATGATGTTTCTTTCAATGGATAGCTCTGTTCACGAGTATTGTTTTAAGGTATGTATCATCACGCTATAGTACTTAGGTACGAAGTAGGAATTGAAATTGTGCAGCAATAACTTTCTCGGTTTTCGGGAATTGTTTTTATCTTGTCAAGTGTGACTTCTGGATGAACGTGTCTTGGGATCGATTCCCGCGTGCGTTCTTGAAATGTTCTATCTTTGTTTTTTCTGTAATGGCACTCACCATGATATTATGGTTTGCATATGGTAATAGACTCTAAAATTTAATATATCATATAATATTTGTGACGCAGTCTACCCTTCCTTCGGATACTTAAAGGCGTGATGTTTTGAAATATGAATTAATATATCTAACGTGCCTTTATATGTAACACCATTCTCTCAAATATCTTCAATGCACAATTAAATACTGCACAATGATATTGCAAAAAAACGTTTCGCTTACGACAGCGCCATCTATTGTCCATTGTCAGAACTAATACGGAGCGTGTAGGCGCAAGGTTTTGAAACAATATATTAAGTCCAAACTTATAGAAACTACTGAACCGATTTTCATGAAATTTGGAACTCATACACAATATATTAAGGTTTAATAACTTTAACACATTTTTGAAATGTACGTTGAGTAGATATATGCGGTTTTGAGTTTGTATGGAAACTTAAAACTGCGTTTTCCTGTCTCTATAAAGTCTTTTTGTTAAATATACTTGATTGATATTTGAGACGAAGTCTCTTCAGTTTTGGAGAGCCATGCTATCGACACGAACGAACCATAGCGTTGTGTTTCGGCTTGTGAGTAACGTAACCGAAGACCCAATCCTTCCCTTCCCCCAATTCCTAAATCTCCAAAACCCTAATACCCTAAAGGACGGCAATGCTTTCTTAACTTCGCTGGCGTCCATAGGTGACGCCGATAGCTTACCATCAGGTAATCAATGGACTCGTTTGCCGCCATCTATACTAATATTAGGGGGTAATAACCTTTGGAACACTGGTCGGATTCCCAAAATTCTTTCACTTATTGATAGCTACAATGTTCCCGAAAGCTACAGGCTATAAAACATCGCGCTACAATCAAACCGAGTAACGAGTGAAATCGCGCGGGAGTAGCAAGTATCACATAAAAAAACCTTGATATATTACTATTACATATGAGTGACCAAGTTTCCAATAAAGCGTTCAGTATTTAGTTTTTATGATTCTGTTTTTTTATAAAAAACCACGCCGCACACACGCTTTGTAATAACAAAAATGATGAACATAATATTTTCTTGTTAGTTGTAGCTTTATTACCTGCCTACACTCTCAGGCACAAAGCGCCACCTTATGCAATCACTTAAATATAATAAACTTATTTAGTAAACTTCTTGTAAATTGTTATTATTGTAATTAAAAGTGTGTATATGTCAAAATTTATCGTTAAATTAATATAAAAAATATTAACCCCACAATAATATGTTACTTAAATATTAAACCATAACTTATTCCAAAGTTTTATATCCAACTAAAAAATTATAAACGCGAAATTTTCTGAGTATGGATGGTTGATAGACTTTTGCGTCGAAACTACTGAATGGATTTTGACGAAAATTGGCACTTAGATAGATAGTCTGGGATAATACATGGGCTACTTTTTACCCGTGTAACACGAGGGAATCCGCTGACAGAAGCTAGTTATAAGAAAAGATAGTGTCACATCATGCAGATGTAACTTCAGAGATTATTGGTTAAATATTAGGTATGTTGTGTTACGAAAATTTATGAAGTTATGAACAGTCTTCTACAGCTGATTGCATTTAATTCTTTTTGAGATGTCACTGGACAAGTTTTCTTTCAACAATTCTAGGCTTAATACATTGCTTGTTCGGCTTAGGCCTGATTTTTCAATGGTTAGATTAAAGTTACCTGGGGAATAATTATGATGCTGTCGCGTCACAATGTTTGTATAAGACAGTGACAGAAATTATTCCTCAGATAATATTTATCTGGCTATTGAAAATGAGCCCTAACTCTTGTAACTCTTTGTCGAGTTAACTGGATTAGTTTCAAACCACGCCGGAGGCGATATTATCCAATAATGACGAGGAATATAAAGTGCTAATTTAGTCGTTTACATACACTTTTATATAATAACTTGAACATAATTACTCGGCTCGACTGAAGTGATACAACGGCCTCACAGAAAACCGGCGTGGCATAACGCTTACGTTGTATAGGTGAGGTAACCAAAAGCCCAATCTTTCTTAGGCCCCCAAAACATTAGCAACGCACTTGTAACTCTCCGATGTTGTGACTGTCCATGGGCGGCGCTGATTGCTTACCATCAGGTAATCCGTCTGCCTAATAGTGTTGAAAGAAAACTAGTATTAAGTCGTGTATTTGAATGTAAGAGTTAATTGTGATGTTACTGTGAACCGGTATGAAGTATTATTTCAATTTAAATTGTTATTATTTGTGCTGTAAGTATTTGTAATCGATGTTTATCAATAAATATGTTACCTTCCATTTTTTATGTTTTATTTTCTTACTTTAGCACTTAATGTAACCTGAATACAATACTCATCTCCTATAACAAGTGTGGGAGAGCCAAGCTTCGGCACGAGTGTACCACGGCCTCACAGAAAACCGGCGTGAAACAACCACAGCGTTGTGTTTCGCCGTGTGAGCGAGATTACCGAAGGCCCAATCCTTCCCATTCCTCAATCCCTAAATCTCCAAATCCTTAAAAAGTCGGCAACGCACTCGTAACTCTTCCGTTGTTCATGAGCGGCGCTGATTGCTTACCATCAGGTCAGGTGTGCTCATTTACCGACCAATTACATAAAAAATACTACCGTGAGATGTGGTTGTTACACTGCAGGTTGTTTTGTCCATGGAGGTTAGAGAGAAAGAGAATGATCGCTACTAGCTAAAGCATTAGCCCGCTTGTCCCTGGAAATTTGTAGAATTAAGGCTGATTTTTCAAGACCATACGTCGTCCACGCAACGACCACACGTTGTCCACGTAACGACTATGCGTTTGCGACTGACGCGTGACGGGCAACCATTTGCCAGCCCACCCGTCCGCCCCGTGCCTTCCCCCCGCCCGCCATCATTCACTATAGAATCAAAGGACGGAGTGCACGTTGGCGGTACACGGTGAACTGAGGTTAGACGAGTTGTCTGTTGAATAACCCACTCGTTGGCACCGCGTTGGCGACTCCTTGACACCGCGTTGTCCACTAGTGACCATTGGGTGGATCAACTAGTTGACTACTCATCGAGAGTGTGAGTAGAGTTGCTGCCGCGTTGGCGTGGAGTTGTTATAATGTGCGAATCGCATCAGATTGTTTTTATAAGACAATATTATACAATCATAATTATTCCATAGGTAACTTTTATCTAACCATTGAAAAATCAGCCCTTACATATAGTTCTATTTTCAGCCACCAACCGCGCTGTCGTCGCGTCGGTAAGTAATAACTGTGAAGTTAGCTGTTAATGAGTGCAAGTAAATGAAG